TCAGTGTGTTATAGTGTTTTAAGTTATATGTACAGTCATATTATACTACCTCAAACATTTAATTTTTAACTTTTTAACATTCTCATACCCCCTTTTTTTTTTTTTTTCTTCTTTCATTAAAATCCCCCCCCCCCCCCCCCCCCCCCTCGCAGCATACGGTACATCAAGAGCCATATTATGGCTCTTGTTTACATCTAATAGTTATAAAACGTAAATTTCCTCTTATAAGCGTCCCCCCCACCACCCCCAACAGTTATAGGGCCATCAACCGGTAATCAAAAAAACACATCTGGATTTAAGCCCCCTCTAGCTTGTATTGAAATGAATTCGATATTTTACGACCTCTTGAAGCTTAAAAGAGCGTGTAAATTCAAAAAGTATATTAATCAGCACTGCTATGTAGCTTGTTTTGAAATGTTTTTTATTTTTGCCCGGTTTTACACCCACCCCCGCCCTCCCCCGCCCCTCCTTTTTATAAGCCTTCATGAAACACCTTACGAATTTGTGTAAGCCCAGGGTATACAAGCGGAAGTTTACGGTAGTCCGCAAACTCCCATGCGGCAGGCCAGATCGTTTTTTTGTACTGTTTTAACACCCCTAAGTGACTGATATCCTCTAAATATCCTATGCATACTACTGGGTGGCCACCTAATTTCACCCACATACAAGCCAGCCATCAACCTGAAAAACGCCTACGGGAAATGTACTGACCCACATCAAATGCGACTGTGCTTCATGCTGGTGTGTGAGAGAAAGCACAAACAAACGGTCTCGTCTCCTGTCGCTCGCTATCGCTTATTTGGGGATTTTTTTTTTGGTTTAAAAGTTTAGAGGAGAGCGGGACATAAGCTGAAGTGAAGGCTCCCCGCTTAGCTTTGGAAAAACGCGCACTGGAGGAGTCAGAATCAGAAAAGCGTGGATTTCTCATTCTGCTAGCTTATGGTTTGAAAAAATGCAATTAGAAAGAAAGAATACGGTGTGGGCGAATTAAACTATTTCAAAAGACGTAATTATACTAGCCTGCGTAGCGTAGCAAGCGTTTCCGTTTGGTTTCGGGGCGAAGAAAGATCGAGCGAGAACTGAAACGAGAGCCAAGCAACTTGTGCCATTTTACGCGCGGTCTTTGACTCTCGTCCATCGTTCTTTGCTCCTAAACCGCACGGAAACGCTTGCTACGCAGGCTATAATTCGACCAAATACGTTAACGGAACTGTTTATTAATATTTCTCGAGATTTCAGAGGCAATTATCTCAGATGTTTTTGTAAGAATTGCTTTACATCCGTTTAGTATCTTTAAAGTTATCTCAATAGTCGATGTTGAATTCATCATTCATGAGCAAAGAGCAACCATGTTGGCAGGTGTAACAAAAAAACTCCTGTAATGATTGGCGAGATTCAAAGATTCACCTTGTCACATTTTTTTCGCGCTTTTATCTTAACGTTTGAGTTTTTTGACGAAATTCTGTGGCTGACAATTAAGTCAGAAAAAGAAATCTTTTTTCTTAAATTTTGATTTTTTTTTGGTACTCTTGAAAGAAAAAAGTGAAAGTTTTGCTATTAGTTCGGAAATTATATTATGTCAGAACATTAAAGTGACGTATAATAAACCATGTCTGCACGCCAAGGTAGATTAAAACACCAAGAGTTTAAGATGATATAAATTAGTACGATTCTTATCACAGTATTTCTCGTTATTCTCACAGACAAACTTCAACAAACGTGTTGAGCAGATGAGAAGAAACTTGTAATTAATTATCATATAAATCACCAAAAGTTATTTTGCGCGCCAGAATTGTTTAAACGAAATTATTAATCATACAACGCTGATACAAGCCCTCAGTTATCTAAGACGTTTGATTTCTGCTGAAAACATGTTTTAGAGAATCCAAAGAATATCACTAAATGGACAAAAATTGCTGTAGTGGACCAAAAAATGCTCATTCCATCAACAACTACTTAATCTGCCTTCTGCATTTGATGTTAATTGAAAATCCCTCAAGCGTCCAATCAACAATAGTAGGAGTTGTTAAGAGAATTCAGTTATGCAAATTTGCGTAGAGTTCCTGTTGTTTTCAAAGAGAATAATCAATTTGCATTGAACTGATAGAAATTGCGCCTAATAGACTTTTCAGTGACTCGAGGTTCCCAAGCTGTTTTAAAAAGTTTGTCTTCATAAGGACGTAAATACCGACGGAATAGCTCTCTTCGAGTGAATAAGGCGTACCTGAAAACTACTAAAGACAATCCGTGCCGAGGAAGGAGAATATTCTGCCTTCCCGCCAACTTTAGGCCAAGGATAATGAAATGGGCTCAGATAGGTTTACTGCTCATTGCAGTAGAACTTTCACAATGCCTCAGAAACCACGGATATGAAAAGGAACTTCGCCAAAGAAAGCATCATTACTTTTTTGACGACCAGAAGTGTGCCCAAGATGTACCGGACTGCGAAAAGTGTTTGTCTAGTGGTAATTGTGAGTGGTGTAGCGATGGGTCGCAGATGAGAGAGTGCATTAGGCAAGGGAGTGTGACCTGCCCGACAGAGCATCGAAAGACGGCTTGTGAATCTCAAACAGCCTTAGACGACAACAAGAAAACTTTAATGAATTACTACGATAAATCCCTGGACGAACTAGCGAAGATAAATGCACCGGTTATGGATAACCCTTCTCAGAATACAAGTGTAGTAACAGTTAATGCCAGTGTTCTATGCGGGAATCAAAGCGAATGTCAAAATTGCACCAGAAATTATTACTGCTTCTGGTGCCAGTCAAAGGGAGAATGTCAGGTTTATTATAATATGACTACAGCACAAGAGTCTTGTTCCGGACTTCATACAGCATATCATCAACGCTGTTTTTTCCCAAGTAAGTGCGTTTTATTAGACTAGCTGGACAGTAGATAGCTTTAGTGTTACACGGTTGGGTAACTTCCAAAGGAATTCCTCGCCTCTTATTGGAGTTTAACAGAGGCTTCTCACCGAGAGAAACTAGCTTGTCTGTAGCTTAGAACAATAATTGAGAAAAAAAACCTCTCTTGTTTAAAGATATTTCCCTGTTCTCTACTAAAAGAAAACGACCTTTTTGGTTCGTTTCGTTTACTTTACGCATGCTACGTCAAAATGTGGTGAATTAACGTGCACAATCGACCAAAACATTTCGCCTTGGTAACTCCATTCTTTGCTTGCTCACGAAAATGTTCCAGGTCATTTTTATCACTTTAGACACCAAAGTAAGAAGATTCGAAAGGTTAATGTCTTTTTATTGAGATTAAAGCGATAAGAGGACGAAAAAGGCAGCAAAACTCTCTTGAGAAATATGCTACTTTCTAATTGTTGTGCGTGGCATTTAAAGTCATTAATTTTTATGAGTATCCCCCGACAATTAATGGAATTAAAGAACATTCTCTCACTGTGTCGTTTTTACGAGAAAAGGAAATTAGGTTTTCATCCGTCCCAAGTGTAACTAAATGGCCTTGCCACACTACACTCGTGGATCGAAGAGGTTTTAAAGAAAAAAATTCTCATTGCCACTCCTTGAAAGAATACCTTTGGAAACGCCTGGTTGAGCCCGTATGCAAATAATACCTCGAAATACCGACTAGAAGAATCGAACAAAGCACACCTTTGTTAGCATGTTGTGTTGTTAAGGTTGTTGATTCTTCACAACTCTCTCCGTTAATTACTCCGGCCGGGAAAAATACCATCTTTTGAAAAAGCATTATCCCACCCAAAAAGGCAGAATGCATATCGATATTTGAACACCTATCAGGGTGTTGCTTTGCCCAAAAGAAGAAGTACAGACGATCAAAGTTCACTTTAACAGAAAATAGCTTTATCATTAATAAATTAAAACCTATGTTAAAGCAAATAAGCCAGTTGAGTTTCGAATCCGTTAAACCTCATACTTGTCTCAAAGCCTGAAGGGTATAAACAAAAGAAAAGTGGCATTTAGACTCATGAAAAATAATTGATATGTTTTTGTTTTAAAACCCTAGCACTCAGGCGAGCCTTGGTTAACCAATTATGAATTTGAAAATTAGAAACTAGGCAATTGAAGGAAAGTCACAACTGAGGAATATTACATGAGCCCAACCCATACTTTCGCGTGCGATGTTTTTACTTTGGTTACAAAGAATAACATTATAACGCTGACCCTTCAATAATCATGATTCTATTGGTGAACTAAATTGCCAAATAGTCGACACCCATTAAGAAAATACTGTAGTAACAAAGGGCTAAGAATGAAAAGCGCCTTGTGTACGAATTAAAACTTGACTCCCACGATTTGATCTCCACCGTATTTTGCCTCATAAAAGGTACGCATGCGAATGAGGCATTAAATAAGGTTCCCGGCAGGATTTTGTAAACCAATACGAACTTCTCCGTGTCATTTTTATAATTCGCATTATTGGATATTTTAATAAAAGTTATTATCTTAAACTTGTTATAACTTTTTCAACTAACATAAAATATGCCGTCTAAAAACTGACTTTTCCTCTGTTATAGTTTGGCGAGACTTTGTGTCGCTACTTGTTTATAAATACTCGCCCATTCTTCAGTGAATCGGCTCATGAAATTTGTTGACTATTTTCAGGATTTTCAAAAGCACCATATTTCCCGCCGGTCCTAGCTTTTCTTAGTTCAATAGCAGTAGAGAATTGCTTCGTTGATTGTTTTGTTTTGGTTCTTTTTTTCCAACTGGAGGAGTGAATGATGGAGTATTTGTACAGGGCTTCTAACATTTGAATCTGTGGATGAAATCCCGCGGGGTGACCATTCAAATGAAACTGAGCAACTGGGCAGTACGTTCACGTGGTAATATTTGTCTTTTACGAAATGAAATTTACAGTTTTTACTGCAGTTTCACTTGGCCAATGCTTTTGGTGATTAAAAGAGTCAAAACGGTTCGAAAAAAAAGCAGGAACACTAGCCAGTTTAAAACTATTTAAATAAACTCTAGGGAAAAGACTTAAACATGCTTTTTCATTTTTCAGTGGAAGTAACGCCTTGTCGCTTACGAAATTCTAGCTGTGAAGAGTGTCTTGAGGATGGTTTATGCTATTGGTGCCCTTCAACCAAAGTCTGCCACTTTTACAAAGAAGCTCACCTTAACCCTAATGATTGCCCCAACGGTACATGGTATCATGAAGACTGCGGTGTTGGGAATAGTCTGTTCTGGGTTCTCTTTCCCATACTGGCCATTATTCTGATACCGGTAATTATTTACCTGATAATATGGTTGATATGTTGCTGTATGCGAGCTGCCGGGTATGAACCCCTGGAACCCGCTGGTTCCGAGCCTGCAAAGAAGCATCCGAAGAGTATCAGATTAAAACCCAGTACACCCTCAAATAAGACCGATCAACTCAGAAAAAAGTACGATCTCGACAATCCGTAAACCAGTCAAAATGGAGATCTGTAAATCTTCTTTAACTGATGAACAGGAAATCGGGTGCTTGATGTTTGCAATAAACTCCTTTATAATATTATAACTGCCAAAAAAAATAACCTCAACCGTGGCCATCAGATAGTTTTAACACTAGGTATAGTATTATCGAAAAAGAATCCCGGTTTGCTTGGTTTAAGCTCATACGTTAAGCAAAACGTTCCTTTTACAACATTTCAGTACATCGTTTAGGCCAACGAGTGACTCGCGTGCAGGAACTGAATCAGATTTACGCTACGCCCGCGCCATGAGTGTCCCGGTTTTAAATAACACCGTACATCGTCCAAATTTCTAGCAAGAATATCGATCATAATCATCTGTAACAAAACTACAGCGTGAATCGCACTATAAGCATAACATAGACATCACGTCGCAACCTTAATCACAATTTATTCCTCACAACAGCTGTTGAAATTTATGCAGCGGCAACCAACGATTATAGTTATGACATTAACACGTTAAATCAGGTTCCCGGGTGAACTGTTTTTTTTTTTTTCTCAGAGCTCTTAAGAGTGAGGACGGTAACATGATTTTTTATCAAAAATATCTTCTTAAGTGTTAGAGAAGGAAAAAATATTCATTCCCTTTACACCAAGTGAACAATAGATACAAAAAACCTACAGAAGTGATGTAATTAGCCTTTCCAGTTGGAGGTAGCTAGGGAGTGGTAAGAGATTTCGTTAAAGATGCCTCGCCCAGCTAACCCTGGATTTACGCAAATTCGCTTTAGAATAACTTGGGCCAGCGGTGTGTTTCTTGAAAGTTCCTATAAATACTGGGCCCATACAGTTTTTTTAATGTTTGCTCGTTAATCATTCAAGATCGAGGTTATAATAGTTTTAAAAGTGGTGCAATAAAAGTATTAGTTAGCAGCCGTACCTTTTTTATTCCATGATATGGCTTCGGGCGAGTAAAATTATCGAGACTTTCGAGAAACCGGCCGCTTATTCCTGAGAAGATTAATCAAGACACGTGAAAAAGTCTTCTGATTTCAGTAGATCTTCTAGGAAGAGTTATTATGCACCCTGTTGATACAACTCGACTGTAAATGAACACAACTAGAATAACTTCTATTTTGGTGGGAGTGGGAGGGGAAAAAGAATTGTTATTTTTGTTTACATAATACTACAAGGCACATGCGTTGAATAAACGAAACAAGGGGGAAAGTTGTCTGCCTTTTACTACATTCTTCTGAATATTGTCACCAATGAATCTATAACAAACTTTGCACACTTAAGCAAGGTCATAGATATTTTAAACGAGCGCAAATAACGAAAACCGAGAGAGTTCGTGAAAATCGCTCCGACGCTCGCGACGACGATGACGCACCTTAGCGTGAGAGGAAATGAGTCACCATCCTCGCGGGAAGTGATTTTCACGCGCGCTGGGCGCGTACAGTCGAACCTCCACTAACGGCCGCATCTTCACAATGGCCATTTTTTATCCCGGCGGACAGTCCATACATTGACTCTTGATTAAGCTTCTCTACCACAGCAACGGCCACTAAAGGTAATGTTACACGGGACGATTCGCGACGACGATTTTTAGTGCAATACAACGTTGCAACATTGTTGCGACATTCTAATAGTTGCAAAGTTGATGCGCCACTGCAACGCTGTGTTGCGCTAAAAACGGTAGTTGCGAATCGTCCTATGTAACATCACCTGAAAGGGCGTCCCCAACTGCGCAAATAACCTCTCTACCACGGCCAGTTTTTTCATCAGCGATATACGAGCTCCCCTAAGAACTCCTGCGTGGGAGGCTAGTATGACATCACTTTAAACGAGGATACACGGCGTCACAACGCTGTCTCAACTTTATATTCAAGTTTTTGTTCTTGCAATGCAGGACCTGTTTGAGTCCAACTCTCGAAATTGGTAAGCGTCAAAGGGGGTGGAGCATGGAGGTAGCGAAGTAGGGGGAGTGGAAGGGGGGGGTGGGGGGGTTGGGAAGAGAGGAAAAGAGACCTCTCCCTTATCCCTACTATGCTACAGAGAATGTTGTACTCGAACACGCAGAGTATCACAAGCTTTTTCTTTTCCGTTAATAAACATATTAAAAACCACTTCTGTTGAGATAATGTTGTGACCATTGTTCCCAGCGGGGTCTACACATCTCAACATATTCTCTTAACAAGTGTTTTGAGGATGTCGAATGTCAGCCTCACCCCTCTATAACACCATAAAAGAAATCATTCATTACTTTTTTATTACGTTATGTCTAGTTTTCCCGATTGGTCGTCGCAGTGTCTTGGCGTTTTCTTACTATTTGTTACATCAGCAAAATTTGCTTGGTTTATATTAAAAACGAACGCACAAAATCTTTTAGTCCTACGGTTTTTGCCCTTGCAGTTTGTCGTTTATCAGCGAGTTCTAAAAGGAAACAAAGAAAATGAAATATTAAAAATAGGATTTCCATGAAGACGAGACGGAAATCAAGTTAGGAAGGTTAACAGTGCTATGTTGACACGTCTCCTCAAGAACAAAAAAGAAACTTATGTGGCCACCTCAAAATTCTGAAGTTATGCCAAAATTCACGGAAGTGTCGACTTTTTTTTTTTTTTTGGCCTCATGAAGAACAAAGTTAAAGCGACACTTTCCGTTTGATAACTGAGGGCAGAATTACTTTCAAGTAATCATGTTGATGTCCGCAGCAATTAATGCTTAAAGGTGTATTTGGCTTTCCAAAGCATTTAAGTGATATTGTCAACCAACAGTTTTCTTTTCGTTTCAAATTACTTATGTCCAGGAATAAGCGCAAAGCAGAAATAAGGACTTTTCGCGTTTGCCTTGCGAAAGCTGCAAAATTTACAATTTTTGCCAAGGCCTTCTACGAATTAACAAACTTTTTCTCCCTTAATGTTTGTAATTTAAACAGCAACCCATTCTCAAAGCGGCGTTGCAGATTTTAAAACAATCCTTAATAGTGGTTATTTCCTGTGCCACTTTTTATCTTCTTCTGGTTACATCATACGTTCTGGAAGTTGATGATATACTCACAATGTAAATGCGTCCGTTTAACTGAGTCGTGCATTTCGTCGTTCATATGTAAGGTAATTGCTGTCTTTCTAATGTAAACCGGTTGTTTTGATAGCAAGTCGTTTCGCTACGATTCCGACTTTGTTAATACGTTTCCCAGGGGGTACTCGATCAATTTCTGGGTATAGGTAAGCCGCAGAGGGTTTGAAACCCTGACGGCGTTTAGGATAAAAAAATCCTAAAATACATACCCTGTTTAGGAAAACACCCTCAATATTATTATTGTCTTCAGAGCTCTGTCAAAGCACCCCGGATACGCTTATTGAACTTGTTAACAGCCATAACATGGCCTTGGGTCAAGCTTTTGACCGGCATGCACCATTGCGTACGAAGGTGATTCGCTCTCGGCCACTTGTCCCTTGGTTCAACGAGGAAATCAACGCTGCAAGTTAGGAGAAGTGAAAGGCCGAGAGGAAATGGCGTCGCACCGGCTCTAGGGAAGATATGCTGGCGTATAAAGCTAAACAGAACAATGCTAACGCTTTGATGATGAAGCGCGATGTACATTCTAGAATGACTTCATTGAGGATAATAGTAGAAATCAGCGCAGTCTCTCTTCGGCAGCTAAGCAGCTCCTCAGCCAGGGGGACAACAGGAATGTGTACCCCCCCCCCCCTCCCTGTGGATTATACCGTCTAACTGGCGAATCAAATGGGGACTTTCTTTGTTTACAAAATCGAGACCGTCGGTTCCAAGCTCGACAACATGGCTTAGGGGCTACCATCCCTTACTGATGACCACACCCCAGCATCACCTCGCCCTCTAAGCAAATTCAACCTCCTTTCAGAGGAGGAGGCTCGCAAACTCATCAGCAGCAGTGCAAAGAAAAATTGCACTTTGGATCCTGTGCCGACATCCCTAGTGATGGATTGTATTGAGGTGCTTTTACCGATCATAACGAAAATGATTAATTTATCACTAGAGTTTGGGTAGTGTGCCCTCGTCCTTTCACTATTAAAGAAGCTTGGGCTAGACTACAGACCTGTCAGTACCTTGCAATAGATCTCTATGCTGGCTGAGAAGGCGGTGTTTGAACAAATACACAACCATATGATAACTCATTCACTATATCCCGAGTTTCAATCATCATATCGTCAAAATCATAACGGCTCTTGTCAAAGTCACGAATGATACTCTCAGGAAAATAAACACTCAAGAGGTGACCTTGCTGGTCATACTTGATCTCAGCGCTGTTTTTGATACAGTCAATCTCAACATCCTGGTGACATGTCTAGATAAGGAGTTTGGGACATGCGGAGTTGCCTTGGAATGGTTCAAATCGTACTTGGCCAACAGAGGCCAGCGAGTGTCCATCAACGGATCTCTCTCAGAGTGCTTTAGTTTGGACTGTGGTGTTCCACAAATGTCATGTCTGGGCCCCCTTCTATTTATCTTCTATGCATCCATGCTATTTAAGGTGGTTGAGGCTCAGCCTCCACACAAGCACTGCTAGGCGGACAACACACAGATTTATCTGAGTTTTAAGCCTAACAGCAGCATATCCCAGGGTGCAATTCGAGTGATGGAATGTTGCATTGAGAAGATCAGGCGATGGCTGATCCAGGACAGATTCCTTGTTAATGAAGATAATACCGAGTTTATGGTAATTGGAACTCGGCAGTAACTTTGCACATTGCCGGCTGTCAACAGTTAAGTAGGTAGCTCAGAGATTAAACCTACCTCGCAAGTTAAAAATCTAAGTTGCTATATTGACTTACATAATATTAGACACATGAGGAGGTATTTATCGAGTGACAGCTTAAGTTTTCTCGTGCACGCATTCACCACGAGATTACTGCAATGGCTTGCTATATGGCCTCCCTAAAGAACAAACAGCTAAGTTGCAAGGCGTGCAAAACGCTGCCGCTGTACTAGTAATGGGTACCACGGGGTTTTCCTCAATCTTTCCTGTGA